ATATAGAATCTATAGAACGCTTGTTGCTAACTTATTATTTGTTTATTTAGAACATAAATACTTTTAGAATTAACGGTGCCGTTCCGAGTTCTACCGCAATTTTGAATATTTCACTGATGAAAGATGCCGGACGGCGTCTGAAACGTCTGACATTATTTTCTTATTTTATCCAGAAGTAAAGATTCAAACTTTTCTTATTAGTATTATCCTGGATGATTAATCTTCACAAACGTACCAAAATTATCATATTTCATACATTTAATGTTACAAATAACACAAATAAACAGGAGGAACATGAAATATTCCCCAATAGTTGTGTTTGATGATCTTTAACGACTAAGTAAATATCATACGAAGAAATAACATAAAAAGAATGAAAATTGCTTTCATAAATGACACATTGATTGTACAGTCAAACCCCCAATTTTTTAAATTAAAAAAATATCCTGCCCAAAATACGTAGACAAAATGGTAACCACTACTATTTCCCGACACTGGAATGTCTTAGGGCTGGGCTGGGAGTGGTAAGCAATCTGCCGGATCACTTATCTTTCAAGATCGGTGACATGGGCAGGATTTGAACCCGCGACATCTTGGGTGTAAGCCGAACGCGCTACCGACTGCGCCACACGTCCCCAATCTATAGCCATGTTAATCTATAACTTACATTTAAATCAAAGACGCAGGAATACAGAAAGGTACTTTACACGACTTTCCTCTCTTCACTCAGGTGTAAATGAGTACCTAGCTTCGGTTAGGGACGTCCCTCGGATAGGACTTTAAATGGAGGTCCCGTGTTTGGGGAGAGCAACACCCTACGCATGTGTAAGAACCCACCGCACATCGAAAAATGTAGGGGGCCTTCCCGGTGTGTGTGGTTCAAACCTTACAGTCCGGTCTTACACAGCTTGTACATTATTGTACGTACATCCGTTTGGCGGCGGGTCGACGGTCGTGGGAAAGACTTGTGGTCGACTGCTCAGCAGCCGGACGATGATGATGACATGTACGTACATGTGCAAAACTGGTGTGTTACGCCTAGAGGCGATTTACCGGTTATGCGAAACAAACAAACCTATGGCCGACTTTAACATTATAACATGAAAGTGAAACTATATCTTTGTTTGTCTTTATTTTCATTAACGTTCGTAAAATACAAGGTACGAGTAAGTGATACTGTAAGTGATAACGACCAAGTAGAGTCAATTCCGTGTCACCCCGTGGTATTTTCCCCATGTTTGTAATGCTTCTGAATTATTTAGAAGAAAAGAATACCCCGGTAACAAAAGTTCTAAATTTTTCATAAATTTGAAAATGAAAATTTGAATATATCTGAATTCATTTAGACATTTCTGAAACATCTTGAGTGGGTATAGAAAGATCTCTTTTTTAGAATAAATTTGAAGTACCATGTGTTTCTTTCACTTTACGAAATATTTAGAAATATCTCAAACAAATAACCGAATGGTAGGTGTGGGTTATTGCCCCCGTAAACGTAGGTGCTAATCTGACTCTTCTGTCTTCTTCTGTACATTTTTGGATTTCACTGCTGGACACTAGTGGCTCTTTTGTAGTAAGTCATCCATGCATGGCACCTAGGCAGACTGCCCTGTACTTCACAGAGATGTGTGAATTACTTTCTTCCCAGCCCACTGAACTATCTACAAAATTTTAGAAATAATTGTAAATAATGGTTAAAAATTTCAGAATGCTGTTAGAAATATTTAGAAACTAACGGAAATGTCATATTCCACATCAGAAATATTTCAAAAGTTTTACAAAACCAAGGATTTATCTAGAACGTTAAAAAATATTCAAAATATTTCAAAACTATGAAATTTCTTGGGCAAACAATTACAAAGAATTGGAAGCATTTCTAAATAATGACAATAACAACCCACACGGTGACGCGGAATTGACTCTATAAGTGATCACGAACTATTTCTGACAATGAAAGATAACTTTATAGCTTTTTCGTTGTGTGGTTGTTATATATAGCCACTTTGGGAGTGATTTGTGGCCGTGAATAAGGCCGGAGTGCTGGGAAACGGCAGTCCAAAGTCTCAGAACTCGGCTTCCAGTGTATTTCCAGTGTATTTCCAGTGTTTACTAGGATGTATGTTCCAATGGAAACCAAGATCGCTATATTTACAAATTTTACAAAGATTTTACGATAGAAACTGCCCGGCGTATGTGAGCGCACGTGACGCCCCCTCCCACCCCGACGTGTACCGCTACAATATCGACGTTCTCGTGCACTCCGGGGCACTAATTCTACTCAAAACTACACAAACCGCGCATCAAACGGTTTCTTAGGATGTATATTCTAATATATCCAAATCTTATATTGCTAACTTTACAAATTGTTGGAATTGTTTCCGGTTGAAAACTGTCTTGCCGTCGGCCTTTTAATTTTCCTGCATCCCCGGGCAAAATGACGTCATGAGGTGGTGCGCTTTTTGATTGGCTGTGGGGAATCTGCGTAATAAGTCAACATCCAATAAGGAAGTAGAATCACACGTGCATACTTGCCACACCTAATATACCTCAGTCAATAGAAACCGCCAAAAATCAAAATAAAACGATTAGAAAAGTCTGTGTCAAGAAATAAAAAAAAACTAGAAAGGCCAATATTTGCTTTGGAGCAAATACAGCGATGGGTTCACCACATTTTACGACATGGCAGGGAAAGAATGAGAAACACAAGGGAAAACAATGATTTACATTGATATAACTATAATATGAAGTAACATACAACTAAAACAACAGTTTGATAGCTATTCCCTACTTTATTGGTTAGGATTTTTAATTGCATAATGCAAACTGTTGATTTTCAAAATAAATAAAAAAACGTTACATGCCCCGCATTCCAATGCTGGAGCAGAAAAGCTTGAAATACCTACCAAAACACTTGAATAAAGACATACTGTCAGTATGAAAATGCTCTGTGCAGGTGTTAATCAAGTTAAATCCCAACAGCCAATCAGCAAGAAATGCTCTGTGCAGGTGGAAATGCTCTGTGCAGGTGTTAATCAAGTTAAATCCCAACAGCCAATCAGCAAGAAGTATAGAGGAAAGCTGCATGCCTATTGGTTGATGCCCTGCATTCCATTGTGATGACTCATGCCCAGACGTGGTAAACACGGCACACTAACACAGTAATACATTTGCTATAACACAGCCAAAAAACTCAAATAAAACCATTCTAAAAGCCTGTATCACAAAAATTTAAAAAACGCCTAGGGGTATTTGCCCACTGTACCTCCATACCAAATTTCAGGACCTTAGACCCTAAATGAAGAAGCTGAATCCATTTAAAAAATGGCAGGAGGAGAAGGAGGAG